CGCTTCCTCATGGTCCTGCGAGAGGCCCAGCAGCAGCGGCGCCTTCCTTCAGAGGCCGGGACCGGGCCAAGCCGGGTTGAGACTAGGCCGGGCGCAAGCTTGAAACGCGGGGCCGACGCGGGAGCCCAGCCGGTGCCCAGCCGCAGTAGGAACCGTCCGCTCCGGGCCTGAACGGCAGGTGTCTCAGCCAATCAAAGTGCAGCACCATGCCGGGCTCCTCCAACCAGCTCGTCTTAGAGGCGGAGACACGCAAATGAACCGACTGCTAAAGCCAGTGCGCAGCCGCTGCAGCAGCGGTCCCCCACCGGCCTCGGCCTGGGCTTCATCCTGCAGACGCTCAGGTTTGTAGGGATGCTCAGATGCCCTCTTCGGCTCAACCTCCCGCCACGCCCACCCCCTGCCTAGAAATAGCCGTGCGCTTACTCTGCACATATCCTTCCAGGCCTCACACATTGTTCCACTTAAATCCCTAAGAGTGTCTCGTTTTCAACAAAAAATGGCTTTGTGAGCAAGACATCATCACCTTAGCACCCATTCTTTACAACTCATAGATAATCACAGTCTTCTTGGGCCTGATCCGTGTATTTCACAGCTGGTAAAAGTTAGACCTGAGGAGGGTCTTACCCAAGACCATGCCAAATTCAAAGCTGAGGGGTTGGCCTGGAAGCTGTCTCCCTGCACCCAAACCTTTTACACTGGGCCAGACATATGCAGGGAACACAGGTTGAGTCATTGGCTTAAAGGCACAGATGGTAAGTAAGTTACAAAGACTGTGGAAGCCAAGGGGAGGCTGTGAAGGCCTGAAGGTCCAGAACCACAGCAAAACTCTGTTATGCCTAAGGAGTTAAGATGCTTCTTGAACATGTAGATAAGATAATCGTTTTTGAATACTTTGAAATTTGTGGTGCTGTGACATTCAGTGTATGGAAAGATTTAGATACTGTACTATCCAAAGGGAGGGAAAACAAAACAAGAGTCAGCAGAAATTAAATCACTTCTAAGTGTGGGGTGGTGGAATAGGGATTCTCCCATTTTACATTAAGAACACAGTAACAATCAAAGAATAGTCTGAATTGTTTCCCTTAAATAAGATAAGAGATGCATGGTGTGCTGGTTCTTTGGGGAGATTATGAATCCAGAGATGTGCAGGATGAGAACTGAGTGCAAGAACCTGAGAAGGTGGGGAGATGGCCCTGGGGGTAAGAGTATTTGGTGAAGACCTGAGTTCAAGTGCTCAGAACACACACAAAAAGATGGGCATGGTTGTGCAAGTTCCTGTAACCCTAATACTTAGGGTTGGGGGATGGAAGCAGGAGACTTGCTGTGGCTTGTACCAGGTTCAGTGAGAGACCTTGTCTTGAGGGGATAAGATGGAGAGTATAGAGCTGGACACTTGCTATCCTCCTCTGACCTCTGCAAGCTAATGAGTATGCATCACCTGCCCACATACGCACCACACACAAAATAAAGACAATTATTGTGTTTTTATAAATACTTATAAATTGCTATAAAGTTTAGAGGGACCTGCTGCCTGAGTTCAAGCCCTGATTGTGTCAGCGCTAAATGTGTGCACACATGCAAGTTATTTTTGCAGGCCTCAGTTTCTTTATTGCAGATGAATGTTGAGGAGACTAAAGAGATGGCTCAGCAGTTAACAGTGTGTACCATTCTGGTTCAGTTCCTAGCATCCATATCAGGTGTCTCACAACTACCTGTAACTCCAGTTCCAGGTAGATCTGTCACTTCTGGCCTCTACCTCCCCAGGAGCCTATACTTGTATGCACATACCTACACACAGACACACACAAAAATTTTAAAGGTATTTAAAAATACTCTTAAAGAATATTTTGCTGCGTGGTGCACATCTTTAATCCCAGAACTTGAGCGGCAGGGGCAGGCAGATCTGTGAGGTCGAGGCCAGCCTAGTGCACAGAACAAGTTCCAGGACAGCAGGACTACACAGTAAAACCTTGTCTTGAAAAACCAGAGCAGGGAGAATGAATATCTTTAAAATAGCAGCCTCTTCAGACAGGCTGTGGGAAGGGTGACATGGAATGTATGGAAGAGGGTCTGACACCTAACAGGAGCTCAATGAGGGTTAGCTACTGTTGTGTGCACCTGTGAAACTTCAGGCATGCACAGGCATTAAGCACAGCTTTTGCAATATGTGCTTGCCTAATGGCATCTGGAGGTTAACCTTGATGTCAACTTGACAGATTTAGAATCACAAAGAAACCTCTGAGGATGTCTGTGAAAGACTTCCTAGAATGGGCTGATGGGAAGATCCGTCCTAAATGTGGGCAATGCCACTCACTAGACGGCTCAGACCAATACAACAGAGAAAGGAGACTGACAGCAGCACTCATCTCGATCTCCTTGACTGTGGATGCAATGTGACCACCCGTCCCTCCCTTGTCCATGCCACCACGCCTTCCCCGCCATGACAGACTGAACCTTTAAACTGTGCACCAAAATAAACCCTTCCTCTCCTAAACTGTTCGATCAGGTGTTTTGTTACAGCAAACTCAGTAGCTAATACAGCAGCCTTCATTTTGGTAACGGAACTGGAGGTGTCTCCGGCCTGTGGGGTACTAACAGGCGCCCTTCCACAAAGCATCCCCCTCAGTGCTACTCCCAGTGCCGACTCCTGCTTTCTTTGATAGTAACTAGAGTTAGATTTCACACTAACAGGCAGATGATATTTCACTTAACCAAAGAGGTGGAGGAGATCTATGCCAAGATTAATGAAAATAGCCAGTATGTGCTTGACAGTTGCCAGAGGGTTTCCCCCAGAATTAGATTTTCAGGGTGCTTCTTCAAAAATGCATGTAGGACTGGGTGAGTGGATTTGAGGATATTTCTCAGGGCATGGAATTTAACACTCTAATAAGGCTCCCAGGAACTCTGGTGATTCTCAGAGGAATGGGGAACATGATAGTCAATTCTCAGTGAAGATGCAACTTCTACCATCTTTCCTATGCCCTGGCAGATGATAGACATAGGCATGCTGCAATGAATCTATAGGCAGTCCCACCTATAGATTCCAATTCTGTATCTGTGAACTAGCCTACTCCTAGTTATCTAAAAGTTATCTCTTAACCCAAAAATGGACACGTGTAGACATGTGCAGAATAACAAAAACTAAGTCAACCGAAGTATAAGTTCCCAGCTGAGTTCAAAATGATGGTATGCAAGGCTGGAGAGGCAGCTTGGTGGGTAAGAGCAGTGGGTTCCCAGCCCCTACAAAGTGCCTCATGACCACGACCATCTGTAACTCCAGTTCCATGGGATCTGACCCTGTCTTCTGGACTCCTGAGCACCAAACACACACATGGTACACATACATATATGCAGACAAGACATTTGTACACATTTAAAACCTTTTTTAATGGTGGTCTGCCTTCTTGTCTCAGTTCTCAGCACTAAGTGCCTTTCTTCATTTGCTGCTATATTTTGTATCTTTGTGCTTTTCTGGTGACTTCATTGTGTCGGGTGGTCCCTAGGCATAATGCTGAAATGCTATTTAAGAGTTTTTAAGCATTGCAGTCTGCTAGTTATCTTACTGAGAAAGTAACTGTGTTATAGAAAACATACATAGTTCTGTTGGTTGAGATAGATGACTGATTGATTAGATGATTCATATATTGTGAATGATAGATGGTAAATATGATTGATAGATGAGTAATAGATGTAAATGATAATAAATGTGACTGATAGGTAGATAAATAATAGATGATAGAATGTATGATAGACATGATTGATAGATGATATGATAGACAGATAGCTAGGCATTGACATATCAATGAAAGGGTCTTTCCCCCTCCCCCCCCAAAAAAAAAGAACACAAAAAATGAAACTATCCAAGATGGTGGTTGGCTGACAAGAGTGTTAAGACCAAATATTTAAAAGGAACCCAACCCTGTTTTCTCTCTTGGAACAAGAATTCAGTTTTTTTTTTTTTTTTTTAGCATTCACAATAGGACATGCTAGGTGTTGGT